GGATAGACCGTGCCCTCCGGGTGAATGAATACTGTATCTACCGAAAGATCTAGAACTATGGTCTGACCTTCACATGACAGAACATGACAGACACATGACAGACACACACACACACATACTGACCCAAATGGCATATGGTCCTGTCCGACCTTCCCTTTTTCATCAGTCGGTCTACGCAACCGAACCCAATGACTCTTTCGGACTTAACTTACGGCCTGCAACCAGGCCCCATCACCCATCCACGGATAGACCTGGTAAGGACGGATAGACCGGGAGAGGACCCCAAGAGAGATAGAACAAATTCCACCCCATCCGAGGGGGACGACTCCTGAAACCCAATAGTGAGTTTCTATCTCGGGGGCCTGTTTGATGGATCAAGAAACGGCCATTTTTTCATAGATAGAGTTGGCCTCATAGCTCGAGGCCTATTTTATAGATCGAGTTGCCATATGTGCCATATGTGTTGTGTGTGTCTGTCATGTTCTACGTCTTCCGATTCTACGTCTTCCGACCGCCCAGTGCCACGGATCGGAGCTAAGTCACCCTGTCACCGTGAAGTCCACAGGAGGGACCCATGACCAGGTGGGCACCGGTTGACCGTGCTTGGTCATTGACCGATTGGAAGCAAGGTGTTCCCCAAAGCGAGAGCACCTCGCGAGGTGGAAGACAGGAGAAATGCCTTTTGTACATCTACGACTTTGAAACGTCCATGTATGCTTTTGTGGTTCACCTTCTGATTACATCTAATTATTGGTGAGGTTCCACAGTCGATCGCAAAAGGCGCTTGAACAGCTCTGGGCCGAGAGATGAGAGAGCTGAAGCAAAGACGAGCATGACTTCAGTGGCCATCTTACCTTGTTACCATCAATTATCATCAATTGTAGGTGACCAGCAACAGTCCAAAAGTAAACATGGAAGAAACATGAAGAAACACAAAAGGTAAATTGCAAGCAGTTCTTGCTCCTCATTCAGTGTGAGCTGGGCTCCACAAAGAAGGAATCTTCATCTTCCCCTTGGCTACTTCCACTCGTGGTACTTTGGGGGTTGAGACGGTCTGGTATGTGAATTCCTGAGCAGTCGGCAGATGTTTAAAGTGCTTTCGCAAGGAATGGGCTCTGCCATCGCAACGAGACAACACATTCAGAACTATGCAATCGATAGACCAGTTCCGGGTGATTTGTTTGCGATGCGACAAGGGTGCAGACGAGCCCCTCGCAAAGAAAACAAGCCCCATCACCGATGGCTGACAGGCAAGAGATGGCTTCCATCAGTGAACAGATCCTGGGCATTCTGTTGATTTTGATTTGTTTTTGTTCTTTGTGGATTGGATCGGATCTGGATCAGTTGTTTTAAAACTTCTTTTTAGAGGTTTGATACACGGATAACGCCACTCGTGTTCTTTTCATTTTTTGTGTTTGGGGTTTGGAACGTGAGTGTCGGCGGGACAGATCTCTTAGTCTTGGAGCGGAAGACGAACAGGATGATCAGAGTTTGTGGCAGAAACTGATAACGGCAGTAATGGTCAGGTGGTAGCACGTGTTTGCCTTGTGGGCCACAGCTTCTTGATCCCTTGCAGTCTGCCCTGAGCCACAGCACTGAGTGGCATTGCTCCCAACGTTGGCATTTCGAGTATAGAGGACGGATTTTATATTTAGCACCAATAAAATTCAATACGTTTGGATTCTTTGTAGGTCATTATAAACACCAGACGTGCAGGTGAAATCCCGGATGTTCATCATATTTGCATCAGAAACCGGTGGTGTGCAAACATGACAATGTGATATTATTGCACATTGGAGAATGACTCACGCTGTTTATTAGGCCAGATGTGTCCATTTGCCAGTGGAGTTCCTGTTCTCCCGTGAATTCCTATGATTTTCTTTGGTGATGCTGCAATACTGCCATTGGATCAACTGCATTATGCCATGTTTTTTGCTTGTCCAGAAGCGCATCGCGGCATCGCACTTGCGCATGAGTTGTAGACTGGTCGAGAGAAAGCCGGGTTTGATGAAGATCTGTTAAGTACGGCCCCATGTTTTTGCGGATGGATTGTTGAATATCAAACACGCTTAGTTCCAAGCTGCAGCAAGTTTTGCAGAGCAAGGGGCACCACACACCACACATGACACACCAAAGGATGGCCTTTTTACAATCTGCTTCATGGAGGGTTACACCGGAATACTCCATAATATGATATGTGAACTCAAGTCAATACTAGGTCAATGGTACCTGGCACCCCCCCAGAGCACCTCGTTCCACAGCACCGAACGTGCGACCCGAGGATCTCTCACTTGGCGACCCTCGCCGCCGAACTGGGCCTCGGCGTGGCCCCAAAGGCGTGGAGTGCAGCGGAAGTGGCTGGAACAGGATGGACCTTCAGTACTCTTTGGGTTTGAATCGAACCTCCCAGATGCCAACCTTCGGTCATTCTGAGGGGAGGGCCCGCCCTAAAAAAACCCTGAACCCACAACTGACCGATGCTGAACCAGTTTAGTGTTGTTGGAGCTACATAAGTGTTCAGGACTGCCACATGAAAACAGGATTGAGTTGATGAAGCATTGGAAGTTCAGAGGTTCCTTTCGTTTGGTGAAGACGAACGGTCGTGAGAGGCCGTGGACGAGCACTGCGAAAAGGGCACTTGCGATTCACTTGGTGGTCGCTAGTTGTATGTTGTTGTTTGGCAAGCCCTTGGAAGCTAACTTAGTTGAAGGCAGAAGTTATTGATTGAGTGATTTGAATCTTGGGTCTATCCCATTACCAAATACCTAGTAACATGATGGTTCAGTTGCATGTGTTTTCAATACTTGTATTAAATTGTTTGCCGACTGTTATATAGGTTTACTGGGACATGTATATAGGTATATATTCATGTGTTTTCCTTAATATGTCTATAGGAGTTTTTCTTCGGTTGTTTTGCATGTGAAAGAGACCTCCTATGCCTCCAAGCCATTGGATGCCTTGGGATCCTTGGATACCTGAAGACTCAGAGCGAACACATCGCTTCAGGGTCCGGTGTCAAACCGGTGTCAAGCGTCGTGAAGACTAGGTGGACCCACCAAGATGGCCGGTCTAGAAACGAGGATGTTTGGTTTGTTCATGGGGTGTAGGGGGGGTCCCTGGGGAGTCTCTTGGTTTTCGAGTCTTGGGACCCCCGTGGCCCAACTGTTGGCTTCTGATCCTCACTGCGGCCATGGTGACTGCCAGGATGCCATGTATCCAAAAAGGTAAGCAGCTGAAAGACATGGAGCCAGCTGAGACTGGCTGCCTTTTGTTGGGGTAGATGAATGGCTTCAGAAGATCCTGGAGATCCATGCGCCTCTCAAGAGCGAGTATCTCTTTCAAAAAACAGGCTCTGGGAGTTGCCAAGTTGCTTCGTCATATTGGCAGAGATTAGAGCGGTACACTTCCTGGAATCCATCGCGGAAGCATATATATGGAAGCAGAGTGAACTCCACCTGTCTGGTATTCGGAAAAGGGTCATCCGAAAAAAAGGCCTTGCCATCTTTATTTAGCAGGGCTTGCACTTCCATGTCGAGAAAGCTGTTGCCGAACTGCTGAACTCCACAAATTCTTGGCTGAATTCAGAAGCCTTAAAAGGATGTTCTATAGTGCTTATCAGGTGATCCATGTTTGTGATATGGAGTGCATCCCTGGCATCCCTGGCATCCATGTAGATCTCATAGTGGGCAGCCAATGGCCAAGTCCACAGATGATTGTTCAGCTGTCTATCTCCTGGGCGAACGAGCAACCAGCAACTCCCGTTGAGTCATCCAAAACGACCTATGCACCTCAAAGGACTGTTGGAATCTTCGGCATTGAAAAGACTGTTTGAATACCTCAGATGGCTGATGTTCTTGGAATCTATTGGAATCTTCAAATTGGCAGTGAAAGGTAGCTTTGAATGTTGATTTTTGAAGTATTTGATGTGCACTGGGGGTTGACGTGGGTTAGATAGCAATATGTGTTTAACTTATTCTGAGCTGGATGGCCTGGAGACTCGGGAAACAAGGCGGATTGCGGCGTTCAAGAGCTGGCAGGGTCGGAACAGTGTGAGTATTGGCTTTTGTTTTGATTATTGGTTATTCCTTTTTTCACACCTATAGTACTCCAGATTGACATAGAGCATGCGCATGCAGATACAGATCTATCAGGCACTGGCATGGCAACGCTGCGCGTGTTCGGAAGCACAGAGGAATCCTTGAGTCAGATTCGTGAGCTCACTCTCCCAATCAGCCATGCAACGTGTGGCTAGATCAACGAACGACGTCCCGCAGCCCCGAAGGTTGCTATGTCTTTCTATGCCGCACCATCATGTGGCCATGTGTGGCTCCATGAGCACAGGAGTGGTGATTGTACCAGGACCCTCCAAGGGGTGTCCTGGATGGACTACCCCACACTACGGGCCTAGGCTTCCAGACAGGGCACCCCTTAGAGGGTCCTGGTAGAGATTTGCTTTCTGGGGTGAGACAAGAGATTCGGAAGTAAACACCGTCGCAAAACTTTGGACTTGGCGATAGACACCACGAAGTGTCCGACCCCTTGGGTGAGGAGGAGTCGAAGAAATTGGGCTGAATCCAAGACCCAACAAAGCCTAAAGAGTTTTCTGGGGGTCCAATAAGCACACGTCAGATGTCAGAAGTGAATGTTTTTCCTTACATCCAGAAGTTGTGAATTCAACATCCCATCGGCCAAACTACGTGTGATTTTCGTAAACACATGTCCAGACCCAAATGACTCCCCAAAAGGTGGTTTAGATGGACACCTATTGACCCCCCATATAAAAGACATCTTGGGGTTTGTGCCTGTGCCATCTATATACTGAAGCCACTGTAATGACCCATATACCAGGTCCCAGAGCATCCATATGGAATCGTTGCATACAATTACCGCATGATTTACGATTCCATTTTTATGGATGGTTTGGGCATGGTTGCCCTACGCGTTCTTTGATCCCGTACCTGGTCGTACCGACTCATGGTACCGAGTCGTTCGCTGAAGAGGAGAAGCTCTCGATGAAGGCACGGGCATCGCTGGATGCTCTCGGACGTCTTTGCCGGGCGGACTCAGTGAGAGAGATCAGAGGGGTGCCTGGAGGCCATGTTTAGGCGGGTTTCCAATCATAAGAAAGTGATAACCCCCATCAACTTGTTGTCTATAGACCTTTAACATTGATCTATAATTAACATCATGGCGCATGTTCGCGTCGTCATAGTTTCACCTCAGTCATAGTCCGCATCATGTGTGCTCACACCTCGTTTACATTGACATTCTTATCTTTATTGGCAACCTTCCCCCAATCCTGATCTTTACGTCCGGAGTCATTGAGCAATTAGCGCTCATTGAAAGGTTCAATGGGGCAACTTGGGCTGGGGTCCGGCCAAGTTCGTCCCACTGTCATTCATCAGCAAACACTGTGAAACATCTCTTCAACCAAAACGACCAACCTCGTAGACTCACATGGTGATTCTCCCACGTCCCTGCTTCTTTCCACCCCAAAATCGACCAAAAACACACCGACCCAACCTCCAGAGCCTCCCACACACCTCCAGAGCCCACGTCCCTCCCCCTCCTCAAGGCCCCGAGACGGTGCGGCGCCTGCCGTTGGAGGCCTCCACCTTAGCGGAGGCGGAGACCAGCACCGAGGCGCAGAACACTGGAACACCGGGGGGGATGGCGGACGATTGAGCAATTGGTGGAGCAAATGGTTCAGCCCCCCCCAACAAGTAACGGAATGTTTAATATGGTTTAATATGGTTTAGTTCAATGATTTGTTCAAATACTATTTACTGATGGTTCAAAAAATGATTTTATAACAGTAAGAGTCTATTTTTTGTATGTGTCATTGAGTTTTTGTTGGCGATGTTGGGTGGAAGGACTGGAGGGGTCCGGGGTGATCGCACAGATGCATGGTGTTTCTTGGCCACTTTCGTCCCAATCGTTTTGTGGGGAAGGCAACAATGGGAGTTCTGGCGGTGAAATAGGTGAAGGTGGTAATGTTGTGTCAGAAAACATATTGAAACATGATGAAACATGTTGAACGAAATTCATAAGATTGAAGCATCAAAGATCTACCCATTGCTCCCATTGCTTTTTGGATGGCTTTTGGGTCCGGTTTTCGTAGCCATGCCCGGCACCGCTTTTTCGACCCGTTCGCCGAAAGAGATGCGTCGCGCTTCGCTTGGACCGACTCCCCAAACAGGTCCCGTTCAAAGCCCTCGTAGTGGGAAACTGGAGGCGCTGGCCTACTCCGTTCGTAGCGATGGCCTCCAACCGACTTGCAGCTGGCCTCCACCGAGCAGCTCGCGTCCTTGTTACTAAAGAACCACAACCGCGAAGTCTTTGTGGACCCAACAGACTGCCTCCATCCTCTCCATGAAACAAGCAGAAGGTAGCTGGACCATCCAAACCAAGACAATGATCTCACTGTGTGTCTCCTGCCAAAGTTTTCCAATATGCATCCTGTGTTTTTGCAAGCTTCGTGAGTTCTAGAAGGAAGCAGCTGGCACCATCATGGCGGGTCATCTTGACAATCTTTACAGCCTGAAAGATTGGATCATCGCCAATGGCGGCTGTCAAAGAGAAAGCCAAACAAGACAATAGCCAGAGATACCACCAATCGAAAAGCAGCCGATCACATTTTCGGGCAAAAAGGTGTTGAGGATGCCCTCACAGACAAGATATTTGGCAGCCACCCACATGGCTCAACTACAGTAGTTCTCAGGAGAACCTTTGGAAGGTTGTGCACAGCTTTGGAAATGTCTCTGAGGTGGTGAGAGTTTAAAATGGGCCTTCTCTCCGTCTAAGATGTCTTGGTCCACCTCAGGTGAAGCTCAACGAGCTGCGCGAACAAGACCGGATCCTGGTGCGTGCGGGAGAGGCGCCACATCTTCATGGCCATGAAAGGTCAGGGCGATGCGGGGGGCGCTTGATGAAACCGGCATCCAAGCCTTGCACTCGATATTCGGGGCTGGAAAGATTTTTGGAGAGAATGTCTAATTAGGCTAAATGGTGATGATTTGGTGAGTCTTTGACCACAGCTATATAGTGTTCACATCGCAAGGATGTACCTCCCCCTAGTGAAATTTTGGCGGTCGTAACAATAAACCACTCGCAATGATAAACCTTAGACCTTAAGGAATGACAGCGTGTGATTTGTATGTTAAATTGACCAACATTGACAAGTAATTAAACAAACTAACTATCTGGAAAATGATGAACACGCTTGATTATTACTTGGTAAGAAAGCACTCAGTTTTACCAATAACAAGACACTAACACAGCAGCTACCCCTGATAGAAGAACGTCTTGCAAGTGGGTTGCTTCAGATAATTAGACGCCATGAAAGCGCCAATAGAATCTCAAAGGGAACATACCGAAATGATTATTATGTGGAAGGCTTTCAACATCAACCATGAAGAGTATTGAAGCCACTGTTGGTGAGATGCAGTACCTGGTGGGTGCTGGGTTTAGATCTACTAACTGGTCGCAAATAAACCTTCTTCGCGGCCTCTGTAGAACACCGTTCCGCCAGCCTTCCATGGTCCGCGGATGTGTTCACTGGGTGAATCTCTTCGGTGTCCACCGAGTCCCACAGAAACCTGGAGCTGAGCCCAACCAGTGACCCGTCTAGCAAACGACCTCCCAGGTAGGTCATGCTGGTCGGTCCCCACAGCCAAATGGATGGCGGTGCTTTGGTGGATGACTCTCCAGCGGCTTTGCATCGGCTCGACTGTCACGCTCTTTGAACAGGTGATTCCAGTGGATGGTCGCATCCTCGATGGTGTCTCGCAGCTAGGTGCGCGGCATGCAGAGCGTGTGTTCGTTGTGGGGGTGGGTGGATTTGGCCCCTGGTTTTGCAGGTGATTGGAATCAGGCAGATATTGGATGTTTTTGGATGCTATTGGGATGTTTGAAGGGATCTACTCAATCACTGACTTGCTTAGAGAAATGAGGGGCCCCATGTTCGAGCATTGGCCAATCGAGCATCGGCTGTGCCGATGGGTGTGTTGTTTCCAGAAATCAGCCTCGCTGAAGCGCCCACACTTGACACTGTTTCGATCCGGCCGCTTGGTGGATCTGGCCGGAATGGACCCACCCGTTTGCCCCGCCCAACGGATGAACCGGGCCATGGTGAAGCCGGGGGAAGACCCCCGGTTGGCGGGTCACCCGCGGAATCCGAACGCTGAACGCGATGGCCATCTCCTCAGGCTTGAGCCACCTCACTGGTGAGCCTGTGCCACAGGCGCCCTTTGGGGTGTTTTCCTTTCGAGTGGAAAGATAATGAAAAACAGGTCTCCAAATAGGTAACAAATGACATGACATGACATGACATGACCTTTGTTGAGAGAGGCTGCACATATGCAAATTCATTACTTAAGCTGGTTAGTCTCAAATTCTTCTTTGATACTGTATACTGTCTACCAGGTGGAATTGGGATGTGTTCATTTGAAGCAACGCAACATGCAGAGTGATTTCCCTGATTTTCCCTGTGAAGCTCTTGAAGGTCTTTGGAGGTGCAACACGAGCCCAGAGCTCCTCAGCTATCCCCCTATTCTCGGGAAATGTGGTGTCAGTAAATTTGCTATATTGAGATGTGTTGAGCATGGCGTTGTTCCGCAGAAATTGCATTGATCCTCCAAATCGGTATATTCTCCCCAACACTCTTAATCTTCACCAAGACACCCCCACTTTCTGGGTGGTTGTCTTAGACAGCCAGAGTCACCCCGACTAAGGAGCTATAAAATGCTAGGCTCCAAATGGAAGAGGTTTGGTAGTGATGCAGGTACCAAAACCCTCTGTCGTGGGACTGCCGATGTCGTGAGACACTGGGTCCCCACAGGAAGTCTCTCCGGGCGACCAAGTCACTTCGGGCGTCAGCAGACTCAGTTGGGTGGTGACGTGGGAATGAGGATTAGACCTGTTGATGGAGAATGAATGCAGAAGGATCCTAAAGTGGGCCACTTAGTGGGTGAGTGGAAGTCCGTTTTGCAACCTTGGGGAACCGGTCGCGTGGGCTCCTCTTTGGTCTTGGGGAAGCCTCAAACGACATGTCAGATCGTTGGGGAAGCCGACAAACCTCGGCAGACATGTTTGCCCCAGGTGCTTCGAGGTATCTACAAGATGCTTCAAAGATTCTTCAAAGTATGCCAGACACGACTAATGGGACTGCCATATTTATATGCCGAGAAAAAATTAGGGTGGTGGACTGGGGGTCAATTGATCGGCAAATATGGCAAATATACCATACATGGAGTGTCTGGATTGTTTCTTCCAAGTTTCGCTCTTTGCGGCGCGTTGGGATGTTCCGACGCCCACGGAGACCAGCTATCCTTCGTGGTCCAGTCGTCGCGTGGCGAGACGAACACAGCGACGGCTCCCCGACCGTGTGTGCCATGCAGCACTGGCCGGCGAGTGCTGAGCAACCGGTCGAGTTCTTGAAAACCGCAGTGCTGAACACTGAACAGCATGGCACCACTTGTGGATCTCCAGGTCTAGGACCCCGTGACATCGCCGGAGCCAAGTCGCTGAAACGAGAGTGCTTCAAGCGCCTGGCACGCCACGGCGCCATGGCGCCTTGGCGCCTTGGCACCAGGCTGGGTGACCTCTTCTTTTAGCCTGTGTCCTCCCAAACCTGAGAAACATCACAAGCATGGGAAACACGGGGGTTGTGGATCATGTGTTGAACTTCAGAGGCGGAAGGTCGGCTGACTCAAGAATCAGCAGGACGAAGCACTGTCCGGCACTTTGAGTCGAAGCAACATCGACCTTGGAGCAACCAAGACCCAGACACGACCTGCATGGGACTGCCATAGGACTGCCGATCAATTGACCTCCAGTCAACCACACCAATTGATCGGCAGTCCTATGGCAGTCCCATGGAGTCTGGGAGATATTCACCTCCACCGCCTGGTCCAACGCTTTTGTGTCTCAGTCTACGAGCCGGCTCAAGGCTGTCACCATCGATGGGGCCCTACTCATCGAGGCACCGAATGCGGAGAGCGTGGCTGGTGTGGCGGAAGTGGCAGATGTTGCAGGATGTTGTAGGATGTTGCGATAGGTGATGGCTTGAGATGGCTTGAGTGGGGCATGGTGGGGGAACTTTTGTTGCTTCGGGGTAGGAACTCATCGAGCTGGAGTCCACCAGCTGAGGAACTTCCGGCGTGACCGGGTGAACAAAGAAAGGCTAAGAAAGGTGAAGAAAGTCGTTCAAGATCTGAAGCTGCCAGGGACATGGGGGTTTTCATGAAGTGTTCACAGACCAACAGAGGTTAAGTGACCTTTGTAGGACTCGGTAACCTGGGGGTACGTAATAGTCGAACAGTTGGGTTCTTCGTCCGCTGGTCACGTTCGAACGCTCCAGGTTCAACGCCGTGCCGAGCAGTCCACGTTGCAACGTGCGGCGGCCAAGGCAACCTTCCTAGACGTCTTGCCCCTAGGGATCCGTTTTTCGTACCTTCTCAGGTACCGTGGACGGAGACACTGAGACCTGTAGGTGCCAGGTCCAGTCGTACCTTCGAAGGTACAGATCCTTAGGGTCGGAAACCTTGGAAGCCTTCCAGCCTCTAAACATGAAAAGGTCGAAAAGAAGAGCTGCATAAGGCAACAACAAGACAACTGAACCCTACAGATCTCGTTTTACTGGATTTGGTCATGATTTGGTCATACAGTCATACATATATAAAACACTTCTCAATGGAGGTTTTCAGGACCAGGTTTTACAGAGGATCATCGTTGGCACCCATCACCTGATGGCAAATGGTGAAACAGGGTGATAACTTAGCAAGGATAGAGCAGGAGAAAATCTCAATTTGTTTGCTGGATTTTTACTTCATCAAGATCCCCTCAATATACGTGCCACCAAGTCAAGTGCCATCACCGCTGAACACCTGCGAGGTTTGGCGGAGTTGACCGCCAGTGCCAAGGCGTGCGAGACCGACGTGCGGCAAAGCAGAGTGGTGCGTCTCCGGTGGGTGGATGCAGGCACTACACTCTGACTACGGAGGTGGAAGCCCCCCCCTGCCCTGGTTGCAAAGGAACACAGTCTTCCAAGGGACCACCGGAGGATGTTTTTGACGCCATCAAGCTTCCCGAACTGGCTTCTCAGACAGCCCAAACATGGAGCATAAAGATGGAGCATGAACCCAGGCGGGGTTCTACAGCCCAGCAGACGTGGGCTCATGGGATTTTTGCCAATCTGGAAAGCCCAAGAGCATGGGGAACCCCCATGAAATCGTCATAGTCAGAACAGCTATACTGTCAATCAACAGTGTTTAGCTCTTTAACTTTAATTATGCGACTGCTTCCAAATTGATCCGGTGATCCTGAAAAAAGAATACTGTTTGACATGACACACTCCTTCCCCAACTGTCAAAACCGCCCGCCTTGGAGCTCGAGCTCAGAGCGGTCGTCCAGAGTACCGTTCGCCTCGTGCGCAGGAGAGTCGCCCCAAGTTGGTGACCATCGTGGACGCCGTGGCCGACCGTGCCCCGGAAGAGACGTCTCGCGGAGAGTACGGAGAGCGCTCGCGGAGAGCGCGTTAAGCGCTCGCGCCAGTCACAGGAGGACGAGTTCTTGTGGTGAACCGGCAACCAAGTCGGCATCAAGAGACACCATGGAAAGGAGGCATTGGCAACGACTGAGTGGAGAGAATTCTTCGTTGTTTTATCCTACAGGTCGTGGTCCTGAAAAGCTTGTGTTTTCTAAATGTTTGATAAATGTTTGTATGACAAGGATCTATACCTGCAATAAGTCTCTCATCCCTGGTTCTTCAAATTGATTTGTGTTTTTGTCATGCCCTGGTGTCTGACGTCGCCCCCCCCCCCCACACCTCCAAAAATGGTCACTGGCTGGACGATTGGCCGGCCTTAAAGTGACTTTAGTTCGGTGAAGAAGCTCCATCAGGGCCAAATCAGGGCCTCCCCCCAAAATAAGAGGGTGTCCATACGTTCTTCTCTGAAGGGAGGGTGACTGTCGGCCTCCATAGGTGTCTCTTCACTGACTGGTCCAGACTGCACCACGGCCGTCGATCTCCGGTGCTCCCCGGGCCACTCGCCTCACCGGGCGTCTCGGCCGCCTCGTCGCCCCAGGCTGGTCCTTCGGTGTGGTCGTGAGCACTCTGATCATTGCGGTGCCGTGGCGGTGGGAGATGAGGGAGAGGGTTGGAGAGGGTTGGATGGTTGGAATGGTTTAATCGAATCATGTGAATGTCATCTATAGTATGTTATATTTAGTTTGGTGGTGAAGGAATGTGACACATACATCTTTTTGGGAGTTTCACCGTGGTGTTTTTTTGGTGCAACTGTTGTTTCCTTTCTAGATTCTAGCCCATTTGATGGCTGTCTCAGGAATGTTGAAGGAGACATTAGATGGTTCAGGTGGTATAGTAACTTCAAACGATAGCATGTGATGGGTACCTCCTGGATGGAAGTGGCACGATGACGAGGGAAGGAGTCACTTGGGGTTTGGCAGTTGTGCCAGAGGAAAGGAACAAGAAGCGAAACCACAACACATCACAATACTGTAAGACAGCTCGCATTGCTGATCCCCTATGGGCAATCATTGATATGACATGTTATGAGACTTGAGGTAGACTGGTGCACTGCTAGCAAGAAGTGTTGCTGCAGACAAACAACGTTCTTTTGGAGGGACTAGAACTTGTTCCAAGGAGGAACCGCAGATTAGCAGCATACCACTTATGGATCTATGGGCCTTTGACCATGCAAGCAAGTGCACTTCAGGGTTCCAGCACTAAAACGCGCAAGCAGCGCAGCGCGGTCTCCCCACGTCGACTCGAGACACGGTCTCCCACTGGCATTGCATGTGTGAAAGCGAAAGGACGGTATGTCCGGTATATGTCTCCAAATGTATTGCCCATACCCAGACACTCCATGTATGGTATATATGACATTGACCCCCATGGCACCACCCCTGGCCTGATGGGCATTGGCAGTCCCATGGGTCGTGCCGGGGATATATGGTCAGTACACTCAGCATGTCAGTGGCAGGTCAAGCGAAGCCCACCAGTCCCACCTCCCACGGTCCGTCGGTGCCGCCGTTCTCGGGCGGAACGTCGATTCCGTCCACGTACGACAAGGCTTAACCGAAGGTGATCCGGTGTCACAAAGCAAATCCTGATCGACTTCCATGTGTTGTTGTTGGTATAAAATATGTTTGTGCCTTTCAAGACAGCTTCCATGAGCTTCCAGAGTCCTTGAGATCTGAATTTGCTTATCAACATCCAAAATCGCCGCAGATTCCCAGAATTGCCGCGAAACTTTATGTATGTTCCTTTAACAAAATCCTCTCTCTCTCTACAATCGTACTCAGCTTTGAGATTTCATGAGCTGGAACTTCTACCTCCAAACCATACCTCTTTGGAGTCTCTGTTTGTGACCTTTTGCCGCCCTGTTACCTCATCCTGGGATCTCAATTTCGGTCACTATTGCTGGATATGGGAGAGCCTTGCCGCCTCCGTCCTGAGGTCAGCCCAATTCTCTTGTGGCGCGCGCCATTGGGACCGCCACTTGACCAGTGCCAAGAGGCTTCTTAAAGAAGTCCTTAGAAGCTACAGCAGCACGGGCTTTCTGCCAACCAAATCCCCGGGGCCCCATGCGAAGCCGCAACTTTGGAGGATTTTCAGGTTAGAGGGACTATAACAATTAGAGCAGGGCATCGGGATTCGCGTCGCTGGCAACCGTGGAGGGGTCGGTGGCGGGGTCTGTCATGTGCATATTTCTGCAGCCTCTCATTTGCAACACGCAACGGAACTTCGTCCTGCCTTGGGTTTGGTTCTGTTGTTGCGGTTGAGCCGAGCCGGTACTTTTCCGCAGAACCACCCCGTGTTCCACGTGTTGAAGATTTTTTTCGATCGATCCTTTAGGTTTAGGATTCCGTTTAAGATCTCTTCAGTCAGCCATCGGGCACCTTTCTGGCTTTGTTTTTGCTACCGCTAGTTGTTTTTGTTGACCGAGGGCCGTTGAACTGGGGAGGGTTAGCTCACTTGCTCAGGTTTTCTGTGGTCAATCTGGCTTTCGCACTACTTCACTCATTATTATACAAAAGCATACAAAGACGTTCACCTGACCAACCTGACCTGCATATATATTGCAGTGTTGGGCAGCCACGTGGCATACCCCTGCATCTCCTGGGTCTGCGTACTCTGCGGGTACCGGGGCCATGGAAACTTCTCGGGTCGTTCGAGGACGACGAGCTGCGAAGATCCCCCCGGAAAAAGACCGCAGAATTAATCTTTCCGGCCACAATTCAAGTGGTCTGTATGGAAGTTGTGTTTCGTTATTGGAAGGTGGTTATACCTCATGTTAGTCTGATGTATGCTGATAGTTTCACGATGTAAAGGCCTCGCAGTTCTACCATGGATCCGGGAATGGACCTTCTCCGCGGGCAGAGCATGATAGTCCATGACGAGCCTTGCACAGTCGAGGACCGAAGCTGCCTATCAGAGGAAGGACGCTTCAACTTATGATGCCAGAACCGAAACCAAGGCGCCACCCTTCAATGCATTTCCCCAAGACTCGAGAAAACAACCGTTTTTGCCATGTTTTCCGGCGTGCTCAAGTGATATGTGTAAATTGTGCAGGGCAGCGTCAATGCCTTGTCGGCACTTGGTCATTTTGCCACTCCCACTCACGTCAAGCAGAAGTGGCAGAGGCCATGTCACTGGTGTTTTTGTTGTACGTTGTTCTCTGGGGTGGGCCAATTGTAGATGCACATGTAAAAGAACAATTAACGTATAGATATACACATGAACTGACCCACCCTTGGACAGCCATTTGATGCGTTCGCTTCTTGAAGAAATGCTTCACGTGAAACCTGACCAGCTGAGGTCCCTCTACCGGGCCTTGGTGTGGCTCATCACGGCCTCTCCCTGCGCGTCCGGGACACAGAGTCCTGTTGGAATTCACGCATGCCATGTTGCAGATGGCTGGATGCCCATCCTGCAGGTCATTGCAGGTAGCAGGATATTGCAGGTTTGTTTTATTATGTAGATGTTTGTTCCACGTTGTTTTACAACCCCCCTTTCCGGGTCGGTCTTAGTGGGGAGCAGTGGTTTTTCAACGAATGCGGAGAAGACCGGCTCATGTGCAAACAACCACAAACATGGTTAGAGACCTTTGCACAGTTCGCAGCTGATGTTCTCTTTTGCATGTTTCCTTGGCAAGATCTTTATTTGCACTTGTTGACGCCCACATGCTGGAGATCTTGAAAGTGTGGTAAGTGTTCTTGAAACTCAATTTAAAACATGACCACATCAATCTACCTGTACTGTACTATAATATGCATATAGTCGTAGTAACCTGCTGCACCGCTCCAATACCCCTCATGCTGGGGACGGAGGTTGATCCTGGCGACGCCCTTGGTCTACGTTTCGGGCCTCTCCGTCGCCGCAGCCAACGGCGCAGCCCGGCGTGGTTGGGCGCCGGGAGAGACCGGGGAGACCGAAGAGAATAGGCCATCCCTTTGGAAGGTTAGAGTCTCAGGGCCCCCAGCTTCTTGGGTTGTTCCTCGGAAGAATGCCACCAATCTGTTTAAAACTTATAAGTTGGACATGGAGGGGCCAGTTCTGGGGATTCCTCCCCAGAGAGTTGAAGGAACTGGACCAACTCCGTTATCCACCTACTTCTGTGATGAACCAATCCTTTGGATCTGCTTTCAGACACCTCCCGCTTCGCTTCCCGCGCCGTCTTCGCTTCTGCACCCGTCCGGTGACCCGCGCCGTCTTCGTGCTCTCCGCCTCTTCATCTGTGTGCGAAACCGTGAGATGCATCTCCAGCCATCGGCCTAAAGCACTTGGAAACGCCGGAACCCAACATGGAAGTTCGGGTGCTCCTCACCTTCGGTGCTTCACTCGCCGAAGAAGAAAAAGGAAGGCATGCTCCTCAGACCGCTCTGACCGCCCAGGTGCTCCTCAAGGGCGGTCGTACCTTGGATGCCTTGGCCGTGGCCTCCGGCGTGGCCTTCGACAAGTGCCTCGGACTCGATGAGACGGGGGGTACCGGATGGTGAGGAGGAGGACGCAGGGGCACGTGGCACGTGGCATGGGGGTCTCGAAGTAAGAGTTAAAGAGTCAATTGAGGGAGTAGTTTTTCAGAAGGTATTCAGTCGAGAGAGCTTTTGGGGGAATTTGAGACTATGTGCCGCATCGATGCAGCATTTTGCTGATCAGTTATTTGGAACTAACACGACGGAGATCGTAATGAGACCACAGTTGGAGACATGGTTGAACACGGCCTTTAATGTTGATATATTATATGTTGATATTATTGGTCAATATATTTTGGGCCACGCAGAGCCATCATCGTCTCTTGGTTGTTCAATGTTGTTCATGTGTCTTTTGTGTTGGCAAAGTGTTTCCAGTCCTACCTCGTCGGTGATTCTAGTAGTTCAGAGCTTCAAAACCCATGAGGTCTAGTATAGTCGAACGTAGAAGTAGAACAATACAAACAGGTTCAACTCTACTTGAAATGAAAAAGCTACGACAATACAAACAATACAAAAACAAAAAGCCAGCTTCAGCAGGTATACCTCTCGTCTGACCGGACCCTCGGCCAAAGGGTCCATACCTCTCGTTGCTTCGTTGGTGGACCCGACTGGTCGGTCTCAGCGGTCGGAGGTTTCCGGTCGAAGCAGACGAAGCACAGGAAGATAGAGGTCCCCGATATTCGTTTGGGATGATCGAACCCATCCATCGTTTTGTTTCATTGTTTAAAAGTGAGTTGAAGCCAAGCAGCACGAAGCTGGTGTGAGCGCTCACCAGTTCCTCTTTCAGGACTGGCACACTCACCAGCGGCACTCCTGTCCTCCAAGACGTGGAGGAGACGCGACAAACGTCTCGTCTCGACACGTGGAGGAGACGCGCCATGACATGTCTCGACACGCGGAGGAAACATCTATGGACTTTAACCTTCATCAAGCACTTCACAAGAGGACGTCATCCTTCAGTTCACGTTCCGATTGAGACATGGAAGCATGTTGAATCGGGAATGGGCTGTTCATGTCTAACTTGAAGATAGACCCCTCGCAAGACTACAAGTCGGTTGTTCAGGGGTTCCATATCGTCTAGAAAAGTGATGTTACAAACTGACTCCAAATCACATGCCTGACCCAAACACTCACATGCCTGACACCCCATCTCTAAGGCCACTGACTGAGTACCCAACAACTCCTGGGGGATCGCTGCAGTTGCATCGCCCACAGGAGATTCGGGCTCAAGAGGCGGGTGGAACCAAGGCTGTGAAGGCGAGGGCGGAGAGTCCGCTTTTTGAGGATTGGGCAGCCCCATGAGGGACCCATTGGCGCTGGCCAAGGGCTATGGTCAAGCTAGGTTAGGAGTTGCTGAAGGTGAGTATCAAAGGTATAAATTTAATTAGACCATGATAGTGTATAAGATTATAGTCACTAGTATTCCAAAGAAGAGTGTATCGTGTCTGAGTTTACCGAGTTTGGTGACGAGTCGGAGAAAAGGGACCAGTGACGAGTCGGCAAACAATGGTAGCTTCCTAAGCTGTCAGCGAGATGTTACCGGCCTTTAGGACTCTGGAGAGATGTTACGCGAAGAATGAGACTGCGTGCTTGGCCTGGACCCTGCGTATACAGTGATGTACAATGAAATTGAATTGTTCTTAGAGGCTGAAGTCTCAGAAAATGGGCCACATGGGTGTACCTTCTGAAGGTCCTGATTCCGCTCACAGTGTCACTGGACGTGACACTCATGGCAATTCCATGCGAGGCAGTACAGGTGCATGGAGGCGAGTGACACACACTGCTGGCTCAGCAAAGAGATTGTCGATGTCGGCTCGGAGCCGCTGCTCAGTTGGACAGGTTCGCAAGGCGAAGAGTTTCGCTGTGCTTGAGGCAATTGCTGTAGTTGTCCTGCAAAGTTGCTGTGCAATTTGGGCGCCTGGCCATGCCGGGCCACTGCAGATGAAGGTGACGGAGACTGGTGCAGCACCACCGTGGATGGACAGCGCCAACCACCCGGAAGCTGCGGAAGAACGAGTAGACTGTGGTGCACGCGGCATCGAGACCATTCGTGGTTTCGTTGGCCTCAAGCGCTTGGTCACCAGACATGGCAGCAATCAACAAGTAGGTCACAGGTCACCAGGATCGGATAGGAAAACTAGCCAAGGGATGCCAAGGGTTTGGCTATCGTTTTCAGAGTGGAACACGTGTGTGTGTGTGTGTTTTGTTTTGCACAGTCACACAATATTCATTCAGCGGTTAATCGTCCAACAAAATCTTGTGTGCAATCATAGTGATTTGATGTAATTTATTCATTTGATATACTACATACTAGTTTCACAGTCAAGTTGAATTCTATGGCAAAGCAATGGCAGGTCTCCAAAGTTATTTTTTTAATACCCGGCGGCACCGGTCACCCACCCGAGGTTCAGTGTAGCCATTCCCCAAGACTCAAGACCGATGTCGGAGTCATCTGCAGAGGCGTCGATAGGGAGTCAATATATGATATGAGCAACTGCCAAAACCTCCGATGAACGATAACGTTGGGAAGAGTGTGCACTACAACACATAAGAGGTTTTGCACGTCGCTCATATATATGGGTTTAGGATGGTCTATGTCACTTGGCTCGTCATCATGTGATACGAGCAACATGGGTTTAGGTTTCTTTCATGTGTGAATCGAAGGCAAATCCTAAACCCCAAACCATTCACACCTCTGAGGCTTGGTAAAACCTTTGAGGCTTGGGAGAGGAAATAGGCTCAAGAGTTCTGTGATGAGGTAGAGGCCCCCCGACCAGTCTCTGACCGCCTTTACAAAGAAGATGAGGCCACGCATTCCTCCATCCAGCAAGGATGGGTGGAGGTGTTTCCCAAATTAAGGAGAGACACATGATGATAATGATTGGTAACTTTAATTGAATAGGATGGAGCTGAGCATAATTAAACCACCCAACAAACTTCCAGCGCGAAAGCAAAAGTCAGTGCGGTCCCGTTGGTATCTTTTTGCTGCGCCCATCAGCATGGTGCGCCGGGCAGCGCTGGCGCCAGGTGTTCGGACAATAGGAATGGACGACGTTCATTTGGAGATGTTTGGAACAAATTGGGTGTGTATTTCAATAGGGAGATCTCCAAACCAGTCAGTAGGCTGGTCCTACTTTCCTTCGGACGCAGGGGGGTCGACTTGAGGGTCTCCCTATTCTAAGACACACTGCACTCAATCATAAGTGTTGGGACCTTCACAGCAACATCGTTCTTCCTATGGGCCAGTGCCAAGCCACTAGCTGACCACTCCGTGCAGAATTCGAGCCAGAAGGGTCCGGTCTCGCATTCCGAACGGCGATCGAAAGCGAGGTGCGGAAGCGCATGCCATTCTCGCCCTGCAAAGCTCTAGCACCACTGACAACGTGAAATGGTAAATCCATATGCCAGGACGACTGGGGGTCGGGGTGGTTGTCTTAGACACCCCGGGCCACCTCTCTAAGGAGCTATTTAATAGATGCCCCACGTTTAGTTTCTTCCTGGTTCCCAAAAGCATGGCTGATTTTCACTTAAAACAATTCTGTGAAACTTGTTCGTTGCCAGGATGAGGAGCCTCTTCGTTATGCCGCCTCACTGGGTTCGGGCCACCGAGAAGAGACTGTAGACGTTTGACGGAAGTCGAGAGCGTGCCGACTTCGCCAAAGGAGTAGATCCACAAGAGCTAGATGTCATGTTTGTCTGTCTTTTATGTTTTAAATATTTTCGTTCATGTCATGTCGTACCATTTCTCCCTGATGGCTGCAGAGTATGTCTTACCCATGTCTTACTGTCTTACCTAAAAACTATCAATAACTTGGAGCAAAACAGCAAGCTATCCAACCAGCCCACTCCCCACTACCAGCCATGGCTGCCATGGCTGCTCCTCTCAGGTCAGCTCTCTGTTCACCCGGTCTCCCGCGCGGTGACGGCCGCGCTACCGGAGGGGCAGAGGACCTACCAGGCGGACGGTGTCTCCCCTGCTGACACCACCGGAGCAGTTGGAGCCATTTGAGTTGGCAAATGTTGGCAATGATGTATCTCAGATCTTCGAGATATTCTTCGCATACGGTGCCTAGATATCTTCGAGATATTCGATGATTCTGCAACAGTTGAAGTTCTTGTGCAAGTTGAGAGCTTCGAAGCTTTCGTAGACCGCCTAAGATCGGACCCCTCAGGTCCGGTCGAAAAGGGGCGTCCTTGGGGTCGCTGACCTCAGGGTCCGGTCGCCACTGTGGTGAAAACCCCACTGGATTGACTGAGGTGACTGTAGAGAGCTGTGCGGACCCCGTATTTGGGCAGGTCCTATCTGAGTGTGGACCAGAAACAAAGCAACTGAAAGTGTCACGTATAGGCATTTTTGTGGGGGGAGCTTCTCATGAGTAACCCTCCATTTGGGTTGAAAAGACCTCTCCCTATGGTGCTTGATGAATCAAGAGTCTACATTTGAATGAACTCTTTCAAGTGCTCCACCTCTGTGTTTTTTTCTGGCCCACCAGCGGCGACTCGAGTGTTCCGACCGGCGCACCCAACGACTCCTTGCTTCCGAACGGCGCACCCAACGACTCGAGGGAGCGATGTTTCAGATGCGAGGTGAAGGACTTTCAGATGGTCGCCGGTGCCGGTGTCACTGGGCAGCTGCTGCTGGACGAGGGTGGTGGTGAGCTTAGCATGGCAATGGGCCTGAGAGAGGGAGGGAGTTGGGCGTGACCTCATGAGGCCTCCCAATTCGCTGGAAGAAGGGAATTAGACCAGTCTACCAGTCTACCTCGCCAGTGGCGATCAGGTGGTCTTTAGATGTCTTAAGATATAGAGATCTTGGACAAGCTGTTTCGACAGTCCTTTTCCGGCAATCTGGTGGGTGGAGCTGATGCCGGACAGGATCTTGACTCCAACTGGAGAAAAGAGAAACATGTTCCATATTTTACATCCACCCCCTCCACTGAATGACTGGCTTCGGGGAACACCGGGGGTGTTATGGACATGGTGCCCATCGAGGACCCATGGACACCTGGGTTTGGATGTGAATCATGTAACTTGCTGAAGAGTTTGGGTTCAAGATGAGATAAACAGATCAGTCTGCCAGTACCGTGACGTGATTGCATGCTCACGACATTCCAAGATGCTTTGGAAAATCGATGGGTATTCACTCTCAACGTCAATTTAAAGATCAGAAGACATCTCATGACTGACAGTACCAACATGTACCAACAGGAAAAGTGGATCACCTGCTGCTTTTTGGAGGGAAAATCCCGTTTTCCCATGGTTTCCCACTAGACGGATAGAACAGGTGGACATGTCAATGACCTCTTTGTCCCAGGGATCTCCTCCTTGGGAGTCCATCATTTTACTTAACTTTACCATGATGTCCTTGGGCACATGGCTCTCATCGAGACGTGCACTGGGTTATGTCTACATGCTGTTGAGTACCACCAGCTTCACTGGCACAGCTGCGGTGTCGAAGATGATTGGCTCCGATGCCTCCTCTGAGCAGAAGCTCTTTTGGAGACTTTGGACGAGTTGGGGGGGGCCAGGATAGGCATCTGTGGGCAGGTTGTTTGATGGTTATATTGGCACACCAGGTTGTGCTGGTCATGACTTAATGGTCCCCAAAGAGCTACAAGTTACACTTCCCCAAACTCACAGAATGAATTGCTGTAGCTGTAAGAGTCTTGTTTGGGGGAAGCAGGAAGGTGGGAAGGTGTCATGTTTTCCAGTACAACTCGTGCATTCACTTGTCTCTCTTTGAGGTTCATTGCAAGATGTTCCAGCACGTGTCATTCCGGTCCAGCACATGTCAAATCGCCACTGGTGATGGTTCCTTCAGACAGGTGATCAGTGACATATGGCCAAGCCAAGACCAGCCAGGTCGGTTCGTCCGGTCCGGGATGATCCATCCCTCCTCCCGCCGCCCGAGACAATGTGACCCGTCACCTCGTCTGATTGCTCGCTCCGTGGTGGTTGGACGGTTTGCCTACTTCAGGCGCCTACTTCAAGGGCGGTGCACCGGGTACAGGTCCATGTCAATCAAATATGTTGGAGTTCCAAGAGAGAAGGGGTAGCATGGAAGATGATGAGCCTCAGTGGATCGAGGTTCCTCCAACATGACACATGATCGTACCATATCATACCTATCTAGCCCAACTTCCTCCAACACGTCTTATGACACGTGTTCGTGATCATACCTATCCCTTGCACCTTTTATACATGAGAATAACAATAATATATCAATTGGTTTTACACCCATATCCTCTACAATACCCCAACAACAACATATGTTCTTCTTGTAATGCAATCAAGGTCTATCCGATCAAGGGTCATAGTCAGTGATTTCCTCCTTCACGGAGCACCTCCAGAGTCCCCATAGATGGCCTGAATCGTGGCCTTGCTTGGTTGATTAATAAAGTCCATAAGAGGAGATACCACAAGTACACCACCAAACTCGCTATTCTTCCCCAAAAGGACGTGATCGGTCCACACGGAAGTTCTTTTTCCCGAGGAGATCCCTGCTCTCTGTCCTTTTCACGCTCCTCCAAGCTTGGAATCGAAGCTCGGGCGAAAAAGAGCCGTTCCCCGCTTTCCCTTCAGTGCCAAAGCGGTCTCTTGGCTGAAGACAGCACACAGGCAAACACGCATTATAGATTAATATAGATTAAACATAGATTTGTGATACAATGGTGTATGTATAATGTTGTATGTTCAATTGTTGATAAGCATACCCTATAGTTTGAGTACTGGACATAGAGATGTGCGAGTCTTCAGGCATGCTTCTTGTTGAAAAAGATGGAGAGTTTCACCAAAGGACTTGGTCAACGGTCTTCAACGGTCTTCATCAGATCGACCTAGGAAGCGCTCCAGAAAAACACCTTGGAATGACAATTTCTTTGGGTCTCCACACAAAGCGTCTTTGGAGGCCTTGGCTGCTGTTCCTGCGTGGCGTTTGTGGGCATGTGGCCTTGCTGGCCTATTTGGAGGCATTGGAGCGGATTCCCCTTTGTGAGGCAGTGGTCCTGGGGAAGGTGCATCCAATGGCTGCAGCATTGCTGTCCTACCTCTTCCTAGGTGTCGCGGATAGATCAGTTGGGCGAGACGACGGTCACCGGGTGGTTCGTTTAGATTGGATGTGCATGGATTGTGTGTGGATGTGCGATACCGATGATACCTAAATCCAACAAGAAGAACACAGCATCCGAACTCTTTGGCCCGGCAGGTGAGTCCTTGAGCATGGCGCGCGCGGTGGGCATCGTCTTCTCTTTCCTGGGTGTGGCTTTGATCTCCAACTTCTCTTGGAGCGGATTGATCTCAGGCACCTTCCCCTATTTCTCCCCCCCGGGTCCTTTTACCCTCAGAAAGCAAGACGTGCTTACTTTCTTTCAATCCTGGCAGTCAAGATGTTTTAAAAACAAACTGGTTCCTTCGCCTCTCCTTTTAGGAGTTGCTTTTCATTACAACTCAACATTTTCAAATTGAAGGAGAGCCGTCTCGGAATATGTGAATTGCAGCACGAAGATTGTCAGATGATGCTAGTGAAACCTGTCCTTCCTTATTGCATTACCAGCATTACCAGCCAGCAATCTGTGGCCAGGTTATTAGGTTTCTACGCATGTGATTTGCTGAACCAGTCATCGTTCTTTCAAGCTGGCGTCCACCTTGGTTCCAGACGGCCTCCCCAGGCGACTTGCTAGGGCACCTACAGGCCTTGCTGGCCGGCACCTTGTCCGGCGCGGCCTACTGCTGCGTGCGGGCCTTGGCGCACGGTGCGCAAGGCGAAGACGAGATTTGGAGCATGTTGGCCCTGCCGCCGCCTGGCAATTTGGGAGGCAACTGAAGGGACCACGGAATCATGTGAGACGAGACAAAGAAACTGGTCTTGCAGGATTGAGTAACGTTCCGTTGGATCCAGCAAACGCTTGGCGGCTTGACATTCCGGTGTTGGAATACGTTTGAACTGGATACCCACCAGTTCTGTTGCTTGAATTGGTGAAGGGCGCGGTGCCTCCATGCTCACGTCGCTCGCGTCGTCCGTGAAGAACCCTCTGTCAGACCGACGGCAGTGCGAGTCCGCAGTGTGGGTATGAAGATGAAACTTTACTCTCCCTGGAATTAAAATTGAAGTGGAAAATTGCGAATTGGAAGATAATTTTCCTTTACAAACAGAGGGGTTCCACTTCCATGTTTAGTTCCAAGGAGAGTAAATACAGTGGAATCGAAGTGGAGATCACCACCCCTGGAATCTTTTTGTACAATTTGTGGAATCGAAGTGGAGTCCACCACTTATTGGTAGAAAAGTAAAAATTGTCATCCAAGGGCATGCCATCCACTTCCATGAGATGTTGGTTTGTATAAACTCCAGCAATGCGGTAGAGTTGAGATCGCCTAAGTAGGTAGAGCCTGAAGGCCATGGAAACAATTATTTTTACACCAAGTGGCTGCCAAGTGGGGACTGGCTCCCAAGGTGCATTTTGGATCCTATTTCTTGAGCCATGGGCAGTGAACAAATAATTCCCAACAGAGCTACAGAGCCTACCTAGGTTAGGCAATCTCAACGGTAGAGCTTCCCACCACTTGACTGCCAAATCGGCCAAGGTTGGTCTCCTTGCCCTTTTGTGCGAAACATGCTGTGTATCTTGGCTCTTTGATTTGTGGCGTTGTGGGAGTGTTCTATGCCCTAGTGCTCCAAGTACCTCCTCAGGAGGTATTCGGACCCTCCAAACCCACCCCAAAGATATTCTCAGAAGGTCCTTGGAGGAATAGGGATGGTGTTCAAGTAGGGCCGCTGCCTGGGGGAAACAACTGTGACCGTGATCCGCTCCATGCGCTTCAGCTTCTACAACTAGGGTCCTATGCCCTCACCATGCTACTTAATGCAAACGGTTGATTAATACCCCCCTACCATAATGTTTTTTACATCTCTTGTGAGGGTTTGATGATGTTTTATGAATCAACCGTCTACATGACTTGCCTTTGGGGTATATGTTCATGACAATTTGCTGGTTGCCCACCAGTACTTTTGGCTGGACTCCTTTCCGATCAGACCTTGCAGCAAGGTATCATGGTTGTCCATCAGAGCGGTTCCTCAAACTGAATTGAGAGGATGAGAACTTATAGGCCACAAAAAAGGGGCTGCTTTGGGGAGAACGTTTGTTTGTCCTGAAGGTCATCGACATCAACCGTGTTTTGTGTTTTTTTTCTTTCTTCGTGGGCACACCAAAACAACTGCGTGGCCTAGATGTTTTGGTGTGTCCTAGCAAGACACGTGTTGTGTAGACTTCTTTGCATGGCAAATGAACGGAATTCTATCCTGTTTGAGGCATAGAGCCTGGTGGGTGTTCAAAGGAAGCAAACAAACTCTGTTGTTTTCGTTCTTGGGGTGTCAGGACACCAGCATTTTCATTGGCACAACACTTGACACTTGGCCCCCGGCCTCTCTCGTCCTCGAGTCTCTTTTCCTGAGGTTCAGCGCTGGACATGAAGCAAGCACTTGGGCGTGGCTATTGATCCTTGGCGATCAAGAACAAAAAAAGGCGGATAACCTTCGTCATGTGTTAACCTTTTTGCGGGGGATTGGTTTCCGCCCGACGAGGACCGCCCGATGCGTCGACGGAAGTGGGTCGCCACCGAGTTCTCCGTCCGAAAAAGCAGATCGTTCGTGGGCCCGCGACGATGGGTGTGTAGCTCGAGTTCGGGAGACCTCCCGGGCGCTATGACCCGACCCTGTGGAAGGTTGGTGAAATCAAAAAAGGTTTCGACCCAGATTTCTGGGCCAGTAGGTCTCCCAAAAAACACGCCCATGGTCATCTGCTTCTGAGTCAGGAGAGTGAGTCTGAGTCAGTCGAGTTATGGGGAGACACCTGAACCAAGTGATTTGGGCAAGATCATATTCTTCTTGGTTTCATGAGTTTTGTTTTGGGGTCACGCTATTTCAGCCGACATGGCCCAACCAAAAAGCAGCTTCGACTACGTCGAAAGGTCGTTGAACTCCTTAGGCTATCTAGTATGTAACCCCAGGACAAAGAAAGATGTGGATTGCAGATTCCTTTGGAAATCTGACTCACTTCTGGATTGCAGTTGTTCCATGTTTTTCCTTCCAAAACTTCCGCCGCAAGATGTAATATGATGGAATATGAGAAGATGCTTCGTGATTCTCGAATCCCAGGATGTCGCATATGTGTATACATAATTTATATAACCCCTTCATGGGTTTGAAGCCTCTTCTCTTTCCAGCAGTCTTTCCAGCATGAAGGCGACACCCCAGTGGTTTGGCCACCAACCACCTTCAAAAGGGTTTGCTGGACTCCCGATAATGCTGAATGCCAGTCCCACAGTCAATCAAGATTTATTGGGTTCTCGCGAAGGTTCTTGCTATCTCAAAGATGTTTCCTCACTTTATGAAAAGGAGGAAATATTCGAGCGTTGTTTGGGTTGACTTTGAGAACCAGATGTGTTGCCATCGTCCGACCAAAGTGACCACATGTCCGTTCGCCATCTAAACTCTCCCTGCGCCATCGTCCAGGATTCTGGGCCTCTCCTCGCAAGTGGGTCAGATTTTTCTCCTTCGCGGCCTGGCCAGATTGCCCGCAGCCTGTGGCACTCAGACGATGTACTTCGGCACAGTGTTTGGGGTGCTGCTAGGCGAGGGACACACGACAGGGGGTGAAGGGGTTGAGAGATATGGACCTTGAGATGGTGCAAGGGGAGTTCATGTAGCTAAGACCGGCCGGCTCAAACATGATACCTCCAAGCTGTTCATGTGTCATAATAGCTGCAGTATTCATACCAGGATAATTGTCATTGTTTGCCCGCTTGAAAGGATGATGTTCTGCTGTTTGTTGTTGTTGTTGTTGTTGTTGTGGTTGTTGTTGATTTTGTTGATGTGGTTGGTTGGTTGGTTGGTTGGTTGGTTGGTTGGTTGGTTGGTTGGTTTTTGTTGCATTACCCACCCCAACTTGGAAGAGACATGACGCCAGCTACCCTCGGATGCCAGATTCTAAATGGAGAACAAAAACCTCCCCTCCACGGTCGTCGTGTGACTCCTGGTGGTTGACAGGCTGCGCCTTAGGGGAGGAGCTCCCAAGCTGGAGCGTGTGCTTGGGTGGCCTCTTGATCATCACCTCCCTCCAGCTGGCCGAGTGGGCCGACAGCTTGGCACCGCAGCGGTCGAAAAGGAGCGGATCGCAGGATCGATGGCGATGTCAGACGGATGTGAAGAGGTCAAGATCGGAGGGGGGAGGTGGCGGTGTGGGGGTAGGCGTGCCATTTTGATCCATTTTGGATCCTCCAGCAGCGTGGTTTCTGGAAGACTGACAGGTGGTCAAGAACCGTTTGGCACTGGGTCCCGTTTGGCAAGACAAATGCAGTATACAAATAGTAAAAGTACGTGACCCTTGCCTTCCCTCTCCAGTAAGATTTTCCAGATAGAAGTCCCAGGCGGTGTGTCCAAGTAGTCCGACATGGTTGTCTCCAAACAAGATAATTTCAGGAATCTATTTCATGTGGTCCCTATATAGCCTTTAGAGTCGTATAGTTGTCTCCTACCTCCACCACCTCCCATGTCTCCGCCACGCCGAGGGGCGGAACAAGTGGCTGCACGGGGCCTCAAGAAATGGCTCCAGAAATGATCTCTCCTGCTTCCCCCACAACAACACTGCAAGTCACTTGTGAACAGTGGATCAGAAACTATATATGTTGTCCCCCAACAGTTGGTCACACTATAGGGGTTCTTAGGGCAGTAGTTAAGGTTGGGTGATTGATCGTTGGTGCTCGCATCCGTCGGCATCTAATTCGCTGCTATTTGCGTCACATTCATTCACCGCGGCGAGACCCGAGATCTTCGAAGTGTATTTCGAATGTGCAGGCTCGCAGAAACTGCAGGGCTTGAGTGGTAGTGGTGCCGCGCGCATTTTCGGAGTTGGTGATCACTTTTCGTGGCAGGCGCAAGGGGAAAACCTCGTGTTTAACTTGGTGGTCCAAAGTCGATTTTTCGTGGCAGGTGCAGGAGATCGGGCAGACTTCATGGCAGGCGCAGCGTTGCACACGGCGGTGGTCTGCGGGCTTTGGTGCAGTGAGTCGGCATGTGGCTGTCTTAGAAGCCGGAGGAAGTCTCGAGCGAAAACTGCGCATGATGTTGTGTGCTCTTGCTGCGAAGTGCCTTAGCAGGGCTGCGCGATGTGAATTTCTGTGTGAAGACTTCGTGGTATAGGCGCAATGAACATTGAAGTGCAGATTTCCTGGCCGGCACAAGACTTTTTGAACCTTAAATTGTGCAGATTTCGTGGCAAGCCCAGCACTTTGTGGATTTTGCAGATTTCGTGGCAAGTGCAGGGCTTTGTAAACTTGAAGTGTAAACCTTCACTGACCGCACCGCCTCCCGAGGTCATGGGACGTCCCGAGTTTGTGGGCGAACGGGTTCAAGGCGCCAAAGCGCTCCCCGCGGTGAAGACGAAGCTGTTCCGGTGAAGACGAGGCAAACGCGGTGAAACAAGGCAAGGTTTTGGGGGGGGACCAGTAGGGGGACCAGTAGTCGGCATAAGCACTGACTCAAGCCTCAGCTTCGCAGCGTTGAGCCTGACTTAGAAGTGTGCGCATGTGTCACGTGTGTGTGAGTGTGTACATTTTTGGTTTGGCCCCATACACACAAGTTCTATAGATGGTATCTGGAGTACCCCTTGAAACTCTTGACAAATGTAGTGGCTGGGTGGATGTGATGTGTCAATGTTTCAGAACCGTCAGTCAGCTCATTTTTTGAACCAACATGTGTTTTGTTCTGAGAACCTAGTCACCCAACAAGTTTTTCGCTCAACTGTAGCCAAAAAGGCAAGTGACCCGACTGGTTTTTCAATGTTTTGCATGTTTTATGTTGTTGTTCAAACATGTTCGTGAGGGCTACCCTTTGCCAATACAAATTGTATATATTGTATATTATATATATGTTTATTACATATTTTTGATGTATCCTTTTTATATATATGTCTATACCCATTAATCAAGGAGAGCGTGGTTCAACCAAAGGGTTTGATTCCAAACATTTTCCCAGGCAGAGAGGGAATTTCATAACTTGTTTCTACATTCCCTCTTACAGACATGTTGTTCCTAAGGGTCCGGTGAGACTGTTTCATAGCCAGGGCAGATTTCAGATAGCACGTACTCGTACCTGGACCCTCCAAGTACCTCCGACAATGGGTACCTGTTTTACGGGGTCACGCCTCATGTTTTAGGGACGTTTAAGAGTGTATAGGTCAATGTAACAGTTTCTCGGATTTTTTTTTGTACCTCCTGCCCACCCCCAAGCGTCGCCGAGTGGCCAGGCCATGATGGCGTTTGGGGCTCAGAGAATGGAGAGGGGAACACAGTTCAAAACCATCCAAGAATCGCGTGAGTTTTGGATTTGATCTCCAAATCTCCTTGGTGAGCGAATCAACCGCTTTGACTCTTCTCCAAGCCCAAGCGACCCGAACTCCTTCGTGAGCCATTTGGCGAAGGAACTGAGTTTCAACGGAAGTGAGTCTCAACACAGCTGACGACTTGGTCTCCCACTGGAGCTTGAGAGAGGATATGAGATGGCAGGTTAACTGGATCCAGCCAATCCTGTTCTTTGGCTGAAAGATTCTGATAGAGTCAGATGTGGCTGTGTATCAAAATGATCACCTCTGACTCATCGCGGGAACGGTCACATCATGTCGAAAGTGGATCTCTTGGCTTGGGAGCGGACGATGAGTAGGTCACATCCAGTGCTACAGCTACCATAGCTGGTGTTATAACCCAACTTACTATGTTTGTTATATACCTAGAACCTGATTGACCCCTGCTTCGGATCCAAAACATGGTCTTTTCCTATCAAAACAGAGATCAAATGGGTTCTAGGTGTACATATATATATATATACCAACGATATATAGATATATATCCATATATACATTATTATACAGTACCCGAAGTGACTGCCCGCACCTTGCAGTCGCCATTCGTATCCTGGCCTGGTCAAAGGAAACGAACAGTGCCATCCCCTTGATTAAGGAATTCCCCTTTGGGGGGGGAGATCTACATTCGGCTGTAGCACAAGCAAAGAGTGCTTGGCTTGCAGATCCGATATGACCATATGATGTACTTACAAGGTCTAGTTGAAATTTGAGTGAACAAACAGAGCGCCACCACAGTTTGTTCACTGCACACTCCTCATGACTGATGACCCATTAGTGTACCTATTCACCCTGGCCCCGTGTTAGGGTTGTCTACTACTAGCTCCTTAGGGGTTAATGCAGACTCTTGATTCATAAACACCCCCCCGTTTGGATTGAACATCCTCTTGATAGGGGTGGTGTATTAATTCATCAAGAGTTTGCATCATGATTAAGACCTGTACATGGTTAAGACCATCAATATCCAACCAAAACCAGGTTCTTCTCCCCGCCTGCGGTCCGGGCTTTTCGAATCCAACCTGCTTTGACAGACCGCAGTCCGTGCTTTTCGAGTTCAACAGTCGCTCCCAAGGCCTTGGCACAGTCGCTGCTGGCGCGCTCCCATGAGGCCGGTCTCAGCTTGGGTCGGAGGACTGGTGCGCCGCTTTCACGCCATGGGAGGACTGTTCCGGTTCTGGGCGATTGCGGTCTGGTCAGCTTGCGGTCTGGTCATGACCAAGGTTTGCTCAAGTGGTTGCAGCCAGCTGACGACCTGGTTCATGGCTTGGTGTAGATGGATGTATTGAGTTAGCATGAGCATGCTTTGCACAGGGTCGAAGTCTTTGGCCTTGCACAGGAGCTGTGAATTTCGTGAAAGTGAGGAAGTCACCTCCTGACTTGTTGAAAAGGACGCCAGCAACACAGCAATTCCTGGCTTTGAGCCATAGTAAACACCGACTGTCCTTCGTGTGATTGCTCCTGGTTGAAGATTCCTTTTGTAATCTATTTGGGCCTTAGTCTTGATAATTGGGATCTGCTTGGTTTTTTGTTGTCACACTGTCTGCAGAGTGGATGGTCCGGATTCAGCGATGCATTTCAGATCATTTTGCCCGAAAGCCCCTGAGCAAATGCGTGCGCATGCTGCACTCAATTGGTTCTTGAAGAGCATGTGCCCTTACGCCAAAAGTTTGCAACATCAGGTACCCAATATCTGAGGTGCTTCTAGGCAACCCAGACTTCCAGAGCAAAGCATGTTATCTCCTTCAAAGAACGTCACTGGAACAGGATCTTTACTGCACCAGTGTGTGGTTAGTTGTTGTCCATGTGATGCTTTGCACAGCCGTGCGTGGAAGCACAGCAGGCACGGCACTTGGTGAAATGTAGGTCAAGTCCAAGTCACAAGCTCCAGTGACCCTAGTGAAGCATGGGATTCGGGATGCCCCTGGTTTGCCAAAATGGTTTGTGCTCCATAAAATCACCATCTTAGGTGGATGTTTTCTTGTTTGGAAGGTTCCAAACTGCTTCAGGAAGCCTCCACGCTGACACGCGTGCCAGCCGCTTCTCGAACTCGTCAAGCCGCGTGGCCGGCCTGACCTTTCGGTCGGGGCGTGGCCGGTCAGGTGAAGACCGGTGGCAGTGTGATGCTGGCGCTCGGTCTTTTGCCGAATGAGGCCGCGAGAGTTTCCGACTGTCGCGCTGCGTGATGACCGGGGTCAGGAAGAAGTGACCAGTGACGGGTGACGGATCTGTCACCAGGGGTCACAAAGGGGTGGTGTTTGGTTCCTAAGTGAGTGGATAATGGGCACCCCTAACCTCCAATAGGCACCCCTTTGTGACTCCTGGCACTCTTAAAATCTCTTAAAAGTTCACCGAAAAAAAGGAGTTTTGTCCAAGCAGTCTTGCGTGAAACGCACATGAGTGCGCGTTGCCCAAAGGCAAAGCAAGGAAAGGAAAGGACAGAAAAGGACATGATGCAACGGACGGTCAAATCAGAACAAGATCAGCCTCTCCATCAGGCTTCCAAGATGAAGGACCACTTCAGGTATAATTCTACCGTGTCTTTTTCCAGGTGTCTCATGCTTGCAACCTCTGGGAAGACGCAAAACAACATGCTTCAGACCATTTTGCCTTCTTCGGTCCATCCCCCCGACATCGGTCGCAGTACGGTATTTGTACGGTCGACACGAGTCGGTCTTCGGGTCGTACGTCAGATCGAGTCGAGGAAGCGAACCGTAGGTCAGCGACAGAACCGCCGCGGTGTCCAGAATGAATGGTTTAAGTTTAGGGAGGTTTTTCTTTCAAGCAAAGCACCCCTTTTTGTGCCACATGAGGTATTGATGGAATCTTATTATGGAATCACTAATTACAATTGTTTCTTTTTCTGCGCTATATAATCTTGGAGTGCGTTTCCGGTGCAGTTTGGGGCCAAGTGGCTCACATCCATGGGCACCGTTGCTATTGACATTGCAGAAAGCCAAGCTGTGAAGGATGGTTAATGTGCTTGCAAAAGCTGCCATAGAGTCATTTAGCATAGGTCCAGTTTCTTCTTCTAGGTTGAGTCTTCTTACGGCTAATAAGTGCTCTGCAAAAAGAAGTGCCGGGGGGGCATGTCCAGCGACCTCTTTCACACTGCTTTGGTCCAAGATTGATCTATGTCAAAAGACATGACCCAAAAGGTGAACCCCAAATGGTTACGTACATGGACTCCTCATTTTGCATCATTGTGCACAAGGCTTGCTTTGTTTGCATATCCCCGTTCCATGGATATATGGTCACTGTAAGGGTTGGGTACCCAGGGTGTTTCCGTCCATCTTCACCACCGTTGGCCCCTCCCGTGATCCCCTAGCCTCGCCCGGTTCGCTCACTTCGAGGGCGCGACCCGAGTGTGGCTCTTTCACCTCGAGGAGCACGGGAGCCGCGGGATCTGTCCATGAACACCGTCTTGAGCCAAGGTGTTCTGTCCATGTGCTTTGCTGTGTTTCTGTTTGCCAAGGTTTTTGTGGTTCTTTTTGGGGGATGACAATTCATGATGAAACCCCCCCCCAGTCATTGACTCAACATGAGCAGATCGGATGGATCCTGAGATTCCGAGAAAAAGAGAGTTCCATGTCGGGGTGCGGACACCATGGAGGTTAGAGGTGCCCGGAACATCCACTGGCTTAGGGACTAAACTCTTTTGTGACTCCTGGCTTTGCATGTGTTCTTTTTGTTAACGTTTATGACTCACTACAGTGCAGGCGCTTCTATCATCGATCATTCACCATCTATCATCCCCCAAAAACGGCAAACTTCACCCTCCAGAAGCGCTGACCAAGATCATGCAAGATCATGCAAGTCGTATTGGAGCATACAACTGCGGACCCTCTTTGGTGCTTTGAGCTTTGGAGCAAACCTCAGGACTGCATCAAAGCTTCCGCACCTCGTGTGGTCCAGGAGGCACGACCCAAATTCCGGGCATGGCACGTGCAAGGTGGTGGATGGTGACGGGTGCAACCAGGGGAAGTCCTCCCAAAAATCACCTCCTGCAGAAACTTATACAAAACAAAACCACATGGGCCTCTTCAAAGATCACCCTGGAAATCCGTAGAGGTCGACACATTTCGGACCCAATGGTCTTCAAACCCTGTGGATTTTGGGCTCACCGAGACTGTTCCTGGAGCTTCTCCCCAGAGGGTTTTCTGCGGTTCGGGGTGCGGATCTGCGGCCAAGAGGTGAATGAACCACCGTTGGGATCCACACTGGAACCGGAACCGGAGGGAAAGCGGAGCCGAAAGAACCTGACCATCTCAGAAGATGGTTCTTTTGGGCGCAGTGGATCTCAGTTACCACTATAATAGGATTTATACTGTAATGATATAATATGGCTGTGGGTCAAAACCCTGTAACCCTGGTTGACCGCTGAACATGAAAACGCTTCCTCTACAAGGGATGTCAATACACCAGGATTTGGGGCTCCAGGTTTTGACCCCTGGGTTCGGGTGGGTCTAAGGTTTAAGTCTTTGGAGCCACTGGTGGCCTACCTTGGTGGTATGTCGATCCAAGTAGTTCACAAGTGGATGTGTCTCGGGTTTCTAACCGCATGGGACACCCTGCAAAGATGCTACACCCGCTGCTAGCTACAACTTAGACGCTCGGCCCAGTCCACTGACTTGGCAGCGGGAACACAGAGCAGGAATTGAAAAGAGGTCTTATAACATCCCTGTAAGCATTTCCACTAGGAAAGGGATGGACCCATGTCCCCTAGAAAGGTATTTTTTTTTCTAGAGAGCTATGTTTCCTAACATTGTCGAGTCCCGGGCCATTCTTTAGAAAAGTGTATTTTTGGATATGAACATCGATGACTTTTTTGGCATTTTCTAGAAGACATTTTGGAATCATGATGAATCAACAGGACCAGGACTTTACCATTTTCTAGAGAAGCAGCTTACCATTCTTCTTCCAAAGCTGTTTTAGGAAAGGTGCCATTTTCTAGTGGACATGGCAGGTTGCTGTACAACAAGATACAATTTCTGGCGCTAGTGACAGAGTTTTCACAGAGGCACGCTCCGGATAGCCCATTTTGCATTGCTCAGCATTTTGTGGGTGAACCTGTGTGTGGTTCCGAATAACGAATCCCTTAGGTCTTATTTGTTTGATCCAATCGTTGATGGTGTCGTTTCCTTCGATACCGAAGAAGGCGCGGACCGCTCGGTGGCCGACTGCACGGTGGCCGACCGATCGGTTCGACCGCCAGGTGGCAAAGAGGGGTCCGGCTGCTGGGCGAACATGTGGGAGAAGGATGGAGAAGGGAGATGCAAAGCATGAAGGGCGAAGGACTCAGGGGTAAATAAATCTCGCCATTGATTAATATGTATAATTCTCAATTCTCAAGAGTTAAATATACTAGCTTGTATTACACTGTATATCAGTGGGCCTCTTCTCAAATTTGTCTATTGATTATAAGAGTCCTAAAGATTCAGAATGGCCAATCCTCTTCACGTTTTAGTGGTTATTGATCAACTGTCAGCAATATGATTTGCCTCACCCAGTCAATAGCTGCCATTGCCATTGGGAACCCCAAGGGATGCCATCGGGAGACCCCTTGGCCCAAAAGGACACACCACAGGCCAAAGGGCCTACCTACTGACGGGTGAGGTCTACCTACTGACGGGTGACCGGCGCGCCAATGCCATGCACACCATCGAGAAGATAGGCCTGACGGGCCGACAGGACGGGCGAGGGCCGAAGATGGCCGGGTTTGTTCCTCTGAAATCCGGAGGTGGCATGGTACCCCTGGTAGCTTCTTGTTCCTAGTAGCGATGCCAGTAGCTTCCTTCTTGTTCCTCTAGTAGCGATGCCAGGAGCCCCTAGTAGCTTCTTGTTCCTATAGTAGCGATGCCAGGAGCCCCTAGTAGCTTCTTGTTCCTAGTAGCGATGCCAGGAGCCCCTAGTAGCTTCTTGTTCCTAGTGCGATGCTAGGCGGCCCTAGTAGCTTCTTGTTCCTAGTAGCGATGCCGGCCCGGATGTTCAGACCATGCAATCAAGGAAATTCGGAGGACCAAAGAGGTGGTGAACAGTAGTGAAACCCCACTTGCCCAGCTGAATCGCATGAACAAAAATGAAGAAAGGAACAGATATATATATATATTTAATATACTGGTAATGACCGCGTACATTGAATATGGTGTTAGATAGGCACTTGGTCATTCATGATAAGAAACACCAAAGCATGTGGACAGGGCCCTGTAGGTCTTAAGATGTTTTTGCCGAAAGGATGTGCACAGTGTCCCTAGGGCCCTAGGGCTCCAGTCGTACCTCCTCAGAAGGTATGACTGGACCCTCCTGTACCCCAGTCCCACCTTCTCAGAAAGTACTTGTACGACTGGAACCCTAGAGTTTATGACTGTATACTAAAGACTAGACACGTGATTTGAGACGGCCACAGCTAGCCCTTCAGCCTTGCCGCACCCATCTTGGCCGCAACACTGGGGCCTGATACAGGGGTGGTCACGGGCATGTGGCATGCCGGTCGTTTGATTGCTGGGTATGTTGGTGGCTCGAGAGTGGATGCTTGCTTTGTGAAGCAAGTTGTGCCGAAGAACACCCCTTTGGGTTCAAACTTTGTGGAACCATGTGATGGCGATTTACATCCATGCAAACCCAATATTGCTTGGTATATGTGGTACTCAAACTCCACCCCAGTTATTTGTGCGAACATTGACCATGACTTGGACCAATGACAACATAAACGAAACATGTTTTGACCAGAAGTGCTCCCCAAGGTGCCTGGAAGTTCGACGAGATCCATGCAGATTTGCGGCCCGAAGAGAAGTTGGCCAAGGTGCCATCGAGATAGGGACGTCACCAGCTTAGCCTACCTGGGAGTCTCAAAGTACCTCGGAAAATGCAAGTACATATGCAAGGACCTGCTTGAAAAAACGGCTCATGTCACATTGTCACATTCCATGTTCTAGAGGACTTTCGAGGGTCCAGGTTAGTCATGTTTGCATCAGCTCCCCAATTCCGATCGACGAGCCGTGCCGGCGTGGTGCGGAGGTGCGCGCCTACGACCAGCGGCTGCGGCAGCATGGGGGCCGCGGCTCGTCTGGGGAGCCCAAGCAGCCGAGTGCGGCGGGTGATAGCGGGTGTGGGAAGGGAAGCAGAGTGGGAAGCGATTGATATAGGGAACTCTTGGACTGTTGAGATTGGAAGATTTTGAGAATCAAGACTCAAGACTCAGCCTGTATTTCGGGCGCGTCTCAGTGGCACTATCAACTTGCTTTGGAGTCCAAGTACCCGGTTCTTCATGGCAATGGCTTGAAGCCAAGTCTTCGCAGATGGTGTGATTTTGGATGCATCCCCAATTGTGAACTTGGGCTGTGCTGGTACCCTTGTCCAGAAACACGAGCAAAACATGTGTTTTTTTGTCATAAATCAACAAACCACGTCCAAGAGAAACTAAAGACTAAGAGGACAGACACGAGTTGCATTTTGTTATGTTTCTTGGTTGAAATCCTCAATTGGCAAACCTTTTTTTTCCACCAAAGTGTCCCCTTTCTATCCCCTTCTAACCGGTCCCCCCAAAAAAAGGCCCGCATAATATCCCACCCCAGTGAGAAGATCACCCAACCGAGGCGCTGGCGGCGGCTGCTGCGGCGGCTGGGAATCTCTATGGGAGGTCTCATCATGGTGGGCGATGGCATCAATGACGTGTCCTGGTCATGGGCAAAGAAAAGGGAAGAGGAAGGGTGGGGAATGGGGGTGCAGGGTTGGGAGCGGAGTGGATGGTTTGTGACAACGGTTGGGATACTGCCACCAGGTGCCGGAAAGAAAGGGGTCAGAAGGGTGGCGGCAGCAGAGATGACCAAAGGAACTGAATTGCCAGGTCCAGATGATTCCGTTGATCCGAGGGTATATCTTAAATAAGAGAGCTTGCTGGCCTAATGGAACCGCTGAGTGTTGGTATCTCCGGATCTATTTTGGTTTCTTCCGGGTTTAGTTGGGATGCGGAGTTTGGGGCATCTCCCTATTGTCACAGTGAAGAGTCCAAAGGAGTGCAGCCGATGACTCCGTCCAGGCTCCTGCCTTGGCGGCCGCCACCGCCGGCATCTCCTTGGAGGCGTTGCAGAATCCGGCGCCATCGAATGCCAGAGGTCGTTTGGGTTCCCCCCCCCCCCAGGCAGAGGTTTTCTTGTTTTACCCCCTGCAGGCTTCGAAAGAAATCCCGCGGTTTTTGGTGATTTTTCGGAGGTCCAACGAGCTCCGACGGTTGGGAGAGGAAAATAAGCCAGCGATTTCGGACTTGTTTGAATCACATGGGGCGAGGTGGCAAACCATCAAGTAGCCAGAGAAGGATCAAGCAAACCCTGGTGGGTGTCAATCTCTTTGTCATGTTGGTGAACAACTTCTAGTCTCTTTGAACTTGAGTCTTTGCATGTGGTGCCCAATCTCCCGTGTTCGACATTCTGACCAAGGTACACATCAGTATGCATGCCTTGCTGTGTCGACATGTCTTTTTGCAACAACATCAACTGTGACTGACTGCATTTCTTCTTTAGCTGCAAGCCCAGACACTCCATGGGACTGGAAGTACTGTGCAGAAATAACACCCCATGATTCCCGGCGTCTAAAAAACGGTTGTTGGATGGTACTCTTACCACTGAGCAGCCTCGAACAGCCGCGGTGCAGGCGCAGGCAGATGGCGCTTTGCAGAGCAATGCCGTGGATGGGGGAGATGCAGGGCTCCTGAGATGGGAGGAACATGGAGAAACTCAGACCCCAGACCATGTAAGACCTTAGCGGGGGACCCAAGATGTATTTCCCACTTATTTGTGTTTGTTTTTTGGGGTTTTGGAAGTGGTGTTTTGTTGTGGTCATCAATGGCTTGAGCACTGGACGACTGCGGATCGTCGATGGGATCCACATGTGGGAACATACACAAATACGGCTTATAGGGGTTCCTCGTGCTTTGGATACCAAATGATACCAATGTTTTTCTAAGATTGCAAGGAACATCAGACTGTCAATCTTCAAAGAGCATGTATTACACCATTTGAACTCTTAGCCAATCAGACTGCTCATTCGTTTGGGACTCCCTGGTGTGGCGCTTTGGACACCGCGACGAGTCCGTCGTTCAGGTCATCGGACCCTCAGGTCAGGACCCTCAAGTTGCCTCGTTCGAACAACCACTGCGCCACGTTCTTCTCCTCCACACCGAAGCCCGAAAAACCGGTCTCGCACCGCGCGCGGGTGTGAAGCACATGTGCTTCGCACCTCGCGCCGGGTGCCGGGGTGCAGAAGCCCGGAGACCTAGCCGCGCCGTACCGCCGGCCGCAGGTCCTCGTGTTGCGGCGACAAGGAGATCCACTGGGCGACAGCGAGTTGCAGAGGGTTCGGCGGCCCAAGGGGTCGGTCGGTGGATACATCCGAACACTCGGATCGATCGCTGACTCAGGTAGGCTGATGTGAGCCTCTAAGGCCAATCAGCTGTAGAGTTTTGTATCATCAGCCGATACTGTGGGGATACTGACTACGGATGATACTGTTTTTCGGCTGATACAAAACTCCAGTCTCCCCACAGTGGCTCCAGGAACCGTTCTGTTCCGAAGCGAGCGCGACATCTGTGGAGAAGGCTGCAGCTAAGATCCTGACATGTGAGGCATCAGGAGAGCTTCTGATCTTCCACACTCTTGACAAAGTGTTGGAGGAGGAGCTGACGCTCTTGAAACGAAGCGTCCCGGCTATTCAGACACTGCCTTTGGCGTTTCAATAAGGGCCAGATGGGAATTGGCCAAAAAAAAGAGCTCAGAAACCACGTGGTTCGACCTCGGCTGATGCAAAAACCGGAGACGTTGAAATTTATCTACACAACTGTGACACAACTTGTTCACCTCGAGGCATGCCTTGCGGGGGGGTTCGGCTAGACGTTCCCATGTCAGCATTCATCCCAATACTCGGAGAGAGAAGCAGCGGCCATGATGGCGGGACTTCATGTGCACACGACCTCTCCCTGCTGCTGTCCGCACCACCGGGTTCAGCCAGAAAGAGACCATCGAATCTATTTCCTAGTTCCAGCCATGCAACATTCGCTTAAGCCGCACATGGATGCTTTTTGGTGTTACATCCTTGTGGAGGTCGACGGCTACGATAGAGCGGAACGAGAGCCTGGTCGGCTCCGCGGATGCGGCGCACCACTGGGTCACTGCTTGGCCGATGGGTGATGATGCTAGATCCATTGATCTCTGAGAGTCCAAGTTTGACTGCATTGATCTACCCCTATTGGGTAGCCTATGGTAGTGGTGGATGGATTGACTTCGTAGCCTGTAGGGTAAAATGAGTCAAAACGGAAGTCCTGGGCTGGACCTATCCTTTATGTGAAGTATACTCTTCACCCCATCGCCTGAACCTATCGCCCGTGTTTGTAATCGATGCTGGCAGAGGATGGACTGAGGCCGTGACCATGCTCGGCCTTCAGTCGTCCGGTGGCAGAGGACCGTCGGACCGTCTACTGCGCAGGAAGAGGCGGATGCTGAGGTCTTGCTAGAGCAGCCCGAGCGTCTGAAACAGCCGGAAGTGGGAGTTTTGTTCTTGGAACATTCATCCAGCGGTAGTGGGGGTTGGACGCTACGAACGGAGCGAGCACAGAGGCTATGAAGCATTAGGGGCTCTTGGAAGTTCACATTCGGCCACATGTTGCTGTCCTCGCATCTCGGTAGCACGCCATGTTCTTGGAATAGGCTATGATAGGCTGGCCCTTTTTTGAGGGGTGCCGAGTGACCTCTTGGGGATGCCGGGTGACCTCTTGGGGAGTGCCTTCACAAGGTTTGATCAAGCGGTCTTGTTGGTCTTGAGACTTGGCGGCGTCTTGTGCACCAAGCAATAAATTCAGAACTGGATTGTTTAAGGATCTTTAAGGGCTTGTTAAGGGGACACAGAAATTCTCACGGAAATCATCAGAAGGCAACATGTGCCCAGTGTCCAATGGTGTTGAAATGCATGTTGTTTTTCTGGGAAGGAGACGTGGTCAGAGGTTCTGCATACAGCACATTTGACCTTCCCGGAATACATGTACTTTCCAACATCTCCAAGGTCTCAGACCTCTTAGGGGTTAGTGCTGGGATTATCAATTCTTTCAGGACGAACACATGCCCATCGAACAAACGAACGAGTCGGGGCTGTTTGTGTGCTTGAAGAATCCTGAATATCCCACCTGGTGTGAACCTAGGCATGACTGGCAGGGCGCCCATGTTCCCATCTACTTTCGGCAAGCATCAAACGCCGCAAGTCATAAGACAAACATCATGTCACTATCACTACGCCACTACGTCACGGCGGTCGGCGATTTATGGCATCCCTCACAGTCCAAGTTTGACTCATTTGACCTCGAACTGGTAGTGGTGGATGGATTGACTACCAGGTGGAGTAGTTCATGAGTCAACATGGAAGTTCATGAGTCAACATAGTCGCACAGATCCAACGAACGCTGCCTTTTGAGCGACAAACAAATCCCACGTTTCAGCTCGCTTCTCTCATGGCCACATCTGTGGCGGCTCGTGTAGCGGCTCGCGGAAGTATCAGGTCTCCTGGATCATCCAACTCGCCAAGAAAGCCAGGGTCATCGTCATTCAGAATCTAGGCGGCTGGCGGGTGGAAGACTGGAGCTGTGAGGTGTTCTCACGGAACTCAAGGAAGGGACGTCAAGGATGAACTGTGACACAAGAACCGGCCAAGATGCCCCAGATTAATTTTGCTTGGCACCATTCTGGAGACGAGACGGAGGCATTTCATCTTCCAATCATTCAATCCGACCTGCATGAGCTTCTCAACTGCTGAGTTCAATGGATCGGACCTGATCGGACTAGTGGTCCAAGGGTCTGAGTGGAAGAGGGTTGGGTCCAGTTGAGTGGAGGACGTGTCTTACCAGGATTCCACCTGATTTCTGCTTGGCGAATAAAGGATTTGGTGGATGAAGCAGACCGATGGTTGGATCATGTTGGATCTGCTTGGGCAAGTTTCGAGCCTGGGTGATTGATTTGGAGTATTCTTCAGTGTCAGCTTGCCAAGCAGCAAGACATGTTTAATGGAGACTCAGCAAGAAGACCCAGATCCTGACCTTGGAATTGATTCTGGTTTAAAAAATACATATGGGACTTTGGAAAAAGATCAGGAGGGTGTAGGTATTTACCGATGTTCAATTCGAAAGGTATTTGGTATCTGGAAGCTGGTAAAAAGAGCTTTTGGAGGTGATCCCAAAGGATCTCTGAACCAATTTCTGTCTCAAAGGATCCAAGGGTCGATTGGCTCGAAACCATCGGAGAAAGGCAGTTCCAATTGTTCCGGCCCGTTCCGCCTTGCTGTCTTCCATTTTTCTTGCAGTGAACAGGTTTCTCCAGCACGGTAGTCACCCCGGGTCGTCACTGCGAAATGAAGAACTGAGGCCCGCAACCGTCGCTAGACCGGTGAGCCGGTCGCCATTCCAGGCTTAGCCCTGGGGTCCATTTGCACCGCGCCGGGAGCACCCAGTGGTGACATGTGGTTTCACTGGTCGCGCCGCGCTGTGGTGACTGCCTGGACGATGTGGTTTGGCTCGCGATGTGTTGTTTTTCCCGAATGCGGAGCGAAGGGTTCTTCTGGGGGGGTCTGGGGGTAGAGTCTTGTTCGCGACCCGTTGTCTCAGCGTCCGCAACCGTTCTCAACCGTTCGCAACCGACCGCGCCGTTCGCATGAGGACGCTAAGGCCGCTGCCATTGGGGGAAGCTTTTGGAGTCAGTTTGGCATGGAAGCGTGATGTGTCAGATTCGTGTGAAATAGCGAGGAATCATGTGGAAAGGTAAGAGGTTGAAGTGTGGAGGATGATTTCACTGCGCAGGCGCAGCAGTTTGTGAGATCCGCAGTTTTCTGCGTAGTCACATTGAGATTGGCATTTGGAGGGTGGTGTTTTTGGGGTGTTGGATGTGGCTGTGCCATTGGGATTTGTGTTTCAGGTGTTGCATTGAAGCTGTGTTTTCGTGACAAGTCTCAGCTGACATGGCGATTTTGGTATAATATTGTTGAAGCTCACATGATATGATATTGTCACCTTTCGGGGCAGGCGCAGTACTTTGTGCTTTTTTTGAGGGGTGGAAGTGGTAGTGCGATTTTCTTGGCAGGCGCAGGGGATTGTGAGGTTGCGAGGTGTGATGGAGGTAACATTTCGTGGCAGACGCAGTACTTTGTGCACGTTAGACGTGTGGATACGGGCAGGCGCAGGGAATGGTGAGTTTGCGAGTTGTGGTGGAGGTGAGTGCCGCTGTGACATTGGGATTGGCGTGTGAGCGGGCGTTGTTTGGAGGGGCTGGAATCGCGAAACTGCTTGGCAGGGCTGCTTGATGTGTGTGCTCCGATGGGGCTTCCCAGCTTGACTTTTGGAAGAAGTCTCGTACGAAATGCGCGTTTTGGAGACTTTGACATATGACTGTTGGAGGAAGTCTCGTACGAAACGCTCGTTTTGGAGACTTGACGCGTGACTTTTGGAGGAAGTCTCGTACGAAACGCTTGTTTTGCAGACTCGAAGCGTGAGTTTTTGAGGAAGTCTCGTACGAAACGCTCGTTTTGGAGACTTGACGAGTGAATTTTGGAAGAAGTCTCGTGCGAAATGTCTTGACGTGTGACTTTTGGAGGAAGTCTCGTGCAAAATGCTCGTTTTGGAGATATGACGGTTGATTTTTGGAGACTTTCGTAGCAATGCCCCACAAGGGTGTCCGACAAGAGTGTCCTACGAGAGTGACATACAAGAGTGTGTCC